CCACCAGCAGGACATCTGATGGCCCAGTGACACCTCTCCCCTTCACCACAGCAGGGATGAGACAGCATCTGCAAGGTGGGAACCCATCTGCAAGGTGCACTCTGGGGGCTGTGTCCCTCCTGAGCTGGGGTTGGGGTGCTCTGCTGGCTTTTAGGCACCAAGGGCTGGGTGACACTGCTCTCTAGTGGAGGGCTCTTCATGAACGTGGAGGATTTTGGGCTGGTGGAAAAGGTCAGCACTCATCTGGGGGTAAAAATGACTTTTTCTTGCTATTTGTATCACAAGCTTTTAGAATTTAATGCATAGCCATGGAGACATTGCACAGGCATGGAGTAATTTAGTAAAGAAATGTAAATCAAAGATCCTTGACTTTATCTCACCCTGTTGGGAAGGATTTACTGATCAAGATCTTCCTGATGCCAGTGGTCCTTCCACTAGCACTCCACGGCCAAAGCCACAAGACCTGTGGTGGTTCTCCTGGTGCAGGAGATGCTCTTGGGTGCACAGAAATGACTCTTCCCCTCAAACACCCCGAGCTTTGTGCCTGGAATAGAGGAGGAACAGGCCTGTGTAGCTTGGTGTGGAGCCAAAGAACAGTCAGTGGGATCTGGAGAGGAAAGGCATCCAAAGAAAGAGCTATTCCTGGAGCAGCCACCAGCAGCACACAACGCTGGGGGTCCTGCTGCAGGAGGAAACTTAGAGACACTTCTGGCACTGCAGCATTTCCTCCAGGTACACTCTTAACAAGATGCTGGGAAAAAAATGCTGTGGTGGATTGGAGAAACAGCCCAGTGCTTGGGCTTGCAATGGCAACAGGAGATCCTGTTGAGGGATGCTAATGGCTTTGAGGTAGAAAAGGGCAGATTTAGGTTAGATGTTAGGGAAAGTTCTTCAGTATGAAGGTGATAGATCCCTGGAATAGGTTGCCCAGAGAGGTGGTGGAGGTCCCATCCCTGGGGACATTCAAGATCAGGCTGGATGAGGCTCTGAGTGGCTTTATCTAGTTGGAGATGTCCCTGATTAGTGCAGGGGAGTTGGACTAGATGACCTCTGGAGGCCCCTTCCAGCCCAGACATTCTGTGATTCCATGGTTCTGTGTGAGTCCCACGGCACATTCCCAACAGCCACAGTTATTTTACAACTGGTCGTAATAAAGTTAACTCTGATGGCACATCAGGGCCAAAATTAGGAGCAAAGCCCCACGTGATGAGCTCTCCAGGCCAAGTGCTCTGCCCTTCCTACCACCTCCAAAGCAGAGGGAGGAGCTAGCTGAGATTTTGCTAACAGGGGAGGGAAGTTAATGGGGACATCTAGACTTCATGGTGTAAAAACTGCAAACCTCAGCAAAACTGGGAAGTCTCCTGGAACAAGAAGAGACCAAAACAACTGAGCCTTGCTGGTACTTTCCCTCTTAACAGTAAAGACTTAGGAATTTCTTAGGTGTTTATTGGTGAGCTCTAAAGGAGCTTTAAAGTTACATATTTTTATATTTATGTATTTTTAAATCCTCTTTACCCTGAATCTCTCTAAGGAGAGGAGTGAAATCTCTTCAAGCTGTTCCTTTGTAAAGGTGGTGAAAAGCAAAAGACTTTAAACTACACTTAATAAACCCCTAAACCTTTCTATGGCAGTAAACAAGGAGCTGGCCCAGCTAATGAATAATCACAGCAGCACACACACGCTGCAGTCCTGACAAATAAAACTTAAGGATGAAGCAGAAGGTGAGCATGGGCTGTGGTGGTCCAGTGCAGGGACTGTGTGTCTCCAAAATGAAGAGAATTTGGCACCTGCAGTTCTGATCTGGGCTCTGTCTATGTTACTTTTAGATTCATCTTTCAGGGTTTGAGGAGTGTTGGGAGTCTGTAAAACAAAAGAAAGAGGAAAAACAAAAAGGAGAATATTCAGCCAGGCAGCATCACAAACCTGCTAAAAGGATCTTTTTTACTTTTTTACCTTGGGAAATACAGTCCTTTCCTTGGCACTGGTGTGAGCAGAAGCAGCTTTGCCCTGGGACTGTAACTCCTCTCCTTAGTTCAAATGCAGAGCAGCTGCCAAGCACCCATAGGATCCACTCACCCACCCTTCCTGGCTGTGAAGCAGAAGGGTGAATGTCCATCTTGCTGAATGGACATAAACCAAGGCAATTTAAAAACACATAGTTTTATTTCTTCTCAAAATCCCAACATGACTTTTGATGCTGTCAGCCTCGCTTTAGAGCTCCCACACAGCCCTTGATCTGGGTGACACCCCATGGCTGGAGCTAGGAGGTTAAGGTGAGCTCCTTCCCTTCTATCTGCTGGGAGTTTGGTCTTGCAGCATCAGTGGGTGCCCCTCAGCTCATGCCCTAAGAGAGATGAAGGCTATTCTCATCCTCTCTGCTTTATTCATCCTTATTATCATATAGATAGTATAGAAAACATAAATTGCAGTCAATAATATATAATATGTTCTGTACACCTCAGTCACATCCCTCATTTAAGCTGAAGAGTTCTATTTTCTTGGCTCAGTTCCTCCTCCAAGGCTGGGGGAGCTTCTCCCTTTGGCCAACATTCCTGGTAACAGAGTGCCTGCATTTGGTCAGATTCCTGCCCTCCATCTCCAGAATATCTCTCCCAGTGTTTGACTGTCATCAGCTGAAGCAGGAGTAAGGACTCTGAAAAAGCTATTTAATACTTATCTTTGATAGCACCAATATTTCAGGACAAGTCTTTGATAGCACCAGTATTTCAGGACAAGTCTTTTATCTCAAGACTACTTTTTTTTTTTTATTCTGATGACTCATTATGTTCAGTAATTTTTTGCTGACATTTCTTGTAGATAGATAGTTTTCTCACTGGTGATACCACAGAAATTTCTCACTGTAATTCTTCACTGTATGGGGCTGCCTCTTCATTTTTCTTGAGCTATTCCTCTGCCCTCCAAGGAAATGGCTCAATAGCCCAATTAGACTTTATTACAGGACACATCAGCCTCTCCTGTCCCCATTTGTGCAGTGCTTTAGAGAAAAATGAACCCAAAGCAAAAGGCAATCTCTTTCTTTTCATTCTCTTTGCTCTAAACACCAATACTGTTGTTCATGGGAACATTTTCTGATCTGATTCAAGGCTGCATGCAAAACAGCTTTGGGTTCAGCATGAGTGTGTATAAAGCACCCTGCCAAAGAGTTAGGGGGAGTTTGTGCACCCCATTCTACCCTCACATTGGACAAACCCCCATCTACTGTTTCCAGCAGGGAAAAGTAAAAAATCTGCCTCTTGCCCTGTGGAATATCTTCCCAAAATGTGCAGCTGAAACCAAGTGGGTGTAGTTGCTCCTCCACTAAAGCTTGTAGGGATTTGTTTAATGAGAAGATCTCCCTCCAGAGATTTGGGGGCCATTCTGTGGCAAACTTTATAGCAGGGCTAAAAGTTTTTACAGCTGTTTGTTAACTTAATATCCTCATTTCCATGAGGTGGTGCAGGATAGCCACAGAACTATTTTTATTAAGTGGTGTTGGGGGTTGCTGGGTTTGTTTCCAGAGGGACAGGCTGCCACAGAAGAGCAATATGAACATGAAGCAATATTGAAAGCAGCTCAAAACAAAATAAAAGCTGCCCTGAAGAGCTGCCCCTATTCCCACTCCGTTATCTTCTTGGTTTTACTGTATTAAAGCCCCTTTAAAATTCCCCCAAGAAAGCACCTGAAGGCAGGCAGCATCTCCCCACCCCAGGGGAGAGCTGTGCTGGATAAAACAAGGCTCAACCCCTGGATGGTGATTTTGGCCATGCCATTAAAGAGTTATCACTTATTCACAGGGATACTAGGTGCTTTATCTGACAGCAAGAGCCTGCTCTAACCAGCTTTGGTGCTCAAAGACTGCAAGACAAGAGTAATCAAGAGTCATTTAGGTTTTATTAGGTTGGAAGAACTTGTACTGAGGCATCACCCTGGCCCCAGCCTCACTCACCTCACTCACCAGGGCTGCTTCCAAACAGTGATGTGGAAGGTACAGCTGGGAGAGAAGTAGCTGCCAACATGTGAACATCAATTTTTCTCCATAATGTATCATTTCATTCATTTCTTTCCCAGTGCTGCCAAAAAATTACCAGTAGAAGGAGCCACGTCACATTAGCAGCTGCCTTTCTGCCCATGTAAAGTTAAATGAGACCTTCTGAAGTCTGGAACTTGTTAAATGGCTGTGGAGGTGTGTGTACCCAAACAAACCACCAACTACCACTGAGAGAAGTGCCACCACAGCAGTGAAAACTCAACAGCTCGTGGCCTGGGGGATGCCCGTTGTGGCACCAGCTGTAAAACTTGTTCTGTGTGGATGGGTTTTAAATGTTGGCACCAGAGTGGAAGCACTGGAGCATCTACACAGACAAGTTGGGGAGCATGGCTTGGAGGCTAGGAAAAGCACTGTTAGGGCTGGCTTGTGTTTCCAGCTAGAAAACCCAACAGGTACTGGGCAGAACTGGTCCCTGGCTGAGGCTGTAATGAAAGGCAGAAGCATCTCCACAGCTGGTTAACACGTGTGCCACCACAGCAGAGGAGACACGTGAGCTCCCCGAGTTGACACAAGCAATTAGCCTGTGTGAGGCTCCTTCCACCTCCTAATTCACTCAGAAGAATACATGAGCAAAAAGTTCTCAGCAGCCCTAGTCTGCTGACAGGTCCCCATTGTGGATGTGTTTGATTCGCTTTAGAGGCTAACTTGACCTGTGGAAGGCCAGTCTAGCTCATGCTAATGAGTCTCTCTAGGGCCATGGTGAGAATGAATTTATTTATCTGAGCATTTCTCGTCCTGCTCATCTCCTCAGCAGCCAGACTGAAGAGACACAACAGGTCCAACACACGGGAAATTCTAGATCCAATCACCCAACCCCAGAGGCTGAACATCCTACCTCAATAACTCAATGTCCTCATCCCTCCAAGAGTGCCCAGGTTGCCCAAAGCGATGCCACCAAGCACAGACACCCCCCACACTGACATCCCTTTCCTCTCCTTTCCTTCCTCTGCAGCTTGAAAGCTGTCCTGATGGGGAAGCCTCAGGACAACACGGTGGACTTGTCGGGGATCCCGCTGACGCTGAAGGACCTGGAGCGCGTGAGGTCCTACCTGCAGCAGAGCTCGGAGCACATCGACACGGTGGAGCTGTGCTTCACCGAGCTGACAGATGACATGCTCCTGCAGCTGCTGCCCGCCCTCTGCCTGCTGCCCCACCTCACCACCCTCTCCCTCAACGGCAACCGCCTCACCAAAGCCATCCTCCGGGACCTCACCGAAACCTTGAAGGACCCCAAGAAGTTCCCCAGCGTCACCTGGATCGACTTAGGCAACAACGTGGACATCTTCTCCTTGCCTCAACCCTTCTTGGTCAGCCTAAAGAGACGCTGCCCCAAGCAAGGCAATTTGCCAACCATTCTGGAGTTTGGGGAGGGGCAGGTCAGTGATTTGGAGAACCAAGAGGGCTTGGCTGAGAGCCAGGAGGACCTGTGGGCTGGGCCAGGCCAGGCTGCCAGCACAGGCAGGCTGCAGGCAGAGAGAACAGCCACGGGCGGGGTGCCCCCCGGCTCGGAGCGAGGTGCTGCTGCACCCCAGACGTGATGTCCGGCTCCCTGGCTCTGGGGGGACACAAGGAGGACTGGACACAGAGACCTCGGCGTTGGAGGTCCTGCCAGAGGGTCAGGTCACGTGGTGGGATGCTCTGGGAGGCAGGACTGCTCTGCCTTCCTCCTGCACAGTGAATGGCCACCTTCTGCTTTTCAAACGGCTCGGAGCGAGGTGCTGCTGCACCCCAGACGTGATGTCCGGCTCCCTGGCTCTGGGGGGACACAAGGAGGACTGGACACAGAGACCTCGGCGTTGGAGGTCCTGCCAGAGGGTCAGGTCACGTGGTGGGATGCTCTGGGAGGCAGGACTGCTCTGCCTTCCTCCTGCACAGTGAATGGCCACCTTCTGCTTTTCAAAGGCCACCGAAGAGTGAGCAGGTTGAATACTTGGGTTTTGGAAAAGCTGGCCAGGTATTTTTAAACCTTAGAGACGTGCTGTGCTTCTCAACCTCCCAAAAAGGCACCTCCAAGGTGGTGTCACAGGCCCCTAGAAGAGCACAAAAGGGCAGAAGAAACTCTGCAGGGTTGGGCTCCCTTAGTGCTGGACCCAGCCAGACCCCAGCTGCTCTCCCACACATGATGGACCCCGAAGTCCATCCAGCAGCCCATCCAGAGGACAGCTGCTGAGATGAACCTTAAATCTGTTCCAATCCTGACTTCAGGAGTTGCTGAGGAATCGTGTGTCTGCTGAGATACAACAAACAGCCGCTCACACACTATCCAGGGGTGTTCCTCTTCCTATCGTGAGCCAGCCCAGAGGGAGAACTTTGCTCTCCTGGTGCAGAGCTAAAGCCCAGCCCACAGTGTGCCCGGGTGCTGCTTCACCCTCCAGCCTTACTGGAATCAAGCTGGTGCTTCTGCCTGCCTGGTATTTATTCAGATGTAAAATTCAGTTCCCCACCAGCCGTGCTGCTGTAATAACTCCAGAGCTTTTAATGTGCTATCATCAGGTCTTGCACCAGCAATTCTGAGAGCATCAGCTGAGCCACACTGGGGAGTGCTCTGCAAAAGCTGGAGCTGGGGCTCAGCTCAGATTCATTGCTGCTGCTGACAAAAGAGCCCAGGATACTGAAGGGTTTACAAAAGCAAAAATACTCCTGGGGTTCATCCCTGTATCACTGCCACTGAGGGCTGGGCAGGCACAGCCAGCTGGAGATTTGAAGCCTCAGAAGGGCTGTTGGGTCCCTTGGCTGTGTCCATCCCTCCTGGACCAGAAGTGCTTTGTTTCTAAAACGTTTGTTTTTTTCTAAGAGCCATGGGTTTGATTTTATTTTTGATGGAAAATGGCTCAGCCCAGAGCAGCAGTGCTGGAATAGGGGCACTTTGGCTTCTGAACCAGAGTTTCATTTGATCCTAAACCTGGGGGGGAGAGCAGGAAAGTGTGAAAAACTTCCTGACATTCAAAGGACCAACCAGGACTCCCTTTGCTAAAGGGGAGCCCTTTTCTATCTGTTCAAAGTCCATCCCTGACCAGCTTCACAGAACAACCAACAGTGACCCTCTGGCTTTGCTGCTTCTGGGTGCAACTCCAGTCAGATATTTGGGTCACTCTTTGGCTCTGGCCATTTAACAGCACTGCACCAGGGAGCTTTTCCCAGGGGGTTTCATGCTGCCAGTTGTTGTTTCTCCTCCGTATGCAAGTAGGTAACTTAGAAGAAACTCTGCTACTCGTTTTAATACACTTGGCAACCTTCAGTATCATTTGCATGTATCCAAACCTTTTTTTCCTCTTTTTTTTTTTTAATGCTAAGTCTTTCCAACAGGCATGAGAAACACTTTGCAGTGAATAAACTGTTGTTTGAAATAAAGGAGTTATCCGTAATCAAATAAATGACAATGTTTAATAAAGACCTGGCAACTCATTTTTCCTCTGTACAGGTCAAAATGCCCAACAGGCAGCTCCGAGCACCCCAAAAAACCCTACATCTGGAGCAGAAAGTAGCACTAAGCAGGTCTGGCTTCTCCAGGGTGCTTAACAAAAGGGTCACTATAGCTGGCTAGGGAAGTAAACAGCCCAGTTTATGGGCTGGATTCTGCAGGGTGGGCACAAGGTGGACAAAGAAGCAGCATAAAAGCATCCCTTAAATTTTAAATGTCACCAATGTGCAAAACTGATGGGGGAGAAAGGGCCAGTGAGGGTGGTGTACAGCTCCACAGGGTGTGAGCTCCAGTGTCAGAGCCTCAGTGCACTGAAGGAAATGTGTCTTTACTTCTCTATCAGCTTTGGTCCAGCACCCAAACCATGGCAGGGGCCAGGACGGGAGAGCCAACGTGCTGGTGTTTGTCCTAACTCACAGGAGACCTTTCCCACAGCACTTGGGGACTACCTCCACCATTCCTACAACGTCAATGAGGTGCCTTTAATTTACTAAATTAAGCAAGATGTGATACACCAGGTCAGCAGGGTCCCTAACCAGCAGCCCATCCCTGGGGAGGCTGCACGTCTCCCCCTCCCCAGGAGCCACACACAGGTGCCCCTTTGCCCAGGGCAGGCTGTGGGATGGGGCTTAGGGCACTGTCCTGCCTGGCAAGGCTGATACACAGCACCTAGAGCCTGTGCCCACACCCAGGGAGACACAGGCAGCAAATCCACCACCACCACTTCATCTGCCACAGCACCCGTCACCCTGCTGCACCACTACTGCCTCCCTCATGGAGCTTTGCTAACTCACTATGTGGGGATTTCATCAAGAACAAAACTTCTCCTTGCAAAAAAGAAACTCCAGGAATTTCTTCTAGAAGAGTCAGGCACTGGTTTGCTCAGTAGCTCAGCACTCACCCCTGGGCTCCCTTTCCTTCCCGTGCACAGCTCAGGCCCTCCTGCCTGTTTAAAGGATGAAATCACAAGCTCTTTGCTGCAAGCTTTTTATTGTCTGTGAAGTATTTGTCCAGGAACCAGCCATCCTGGGCCTCAGCATCTGCCTGGGCCCCCCCAGTTCCACTGTGCAAGCTCAGAAAGCAGAGGCACACTTTGCATTGAGAGCACTGCACCATTTATCCATGCTTTGCACACACAGTTCCCTCACACAAACCACCCAGGAGGCTGCTCCTGCCACATTTCCCTCTGAGCTGAGCTTCCACCTGCTGTGAAACACATCAGCCAAGCAGGAGATGTTTTGCATTTATCAGGCTCTTGCTCCAAAGGTCTATCAGCAGCCCAGCAGCTCTGCTTTTGGCTGCAGAGGGCTGAATGCAAGGCTCTGTCCCTACAGATGTGGCTGTGCCAGCACCTCTGTACCCAGTGAGGATTTAGCCCTTCTGAGTAAAGGGAAATAACTAGAATGGGCCTTTTATTGATAAATTTGTGCATGTTGAGGTAGGCATCAAATGACTGACTTGCATGGGAACAGAAAAACCCCTCAGCTCCAGTTGAGACAGTTACTTGGTATAAACCCAAGAGGCTTTAGCTAATCAATCTCCTCACAGTGTGGATTAGGTCAATTAGCCATTTATTACACTTCAGGATGATGATGAACCTGTGGGCTCAGTAAAGAGTGGGGTTTTTCTTAAGAAAGCAGCATGAAATTGTGTCCTTTCACAGCTCATCAGCATCAAAACAAGGCAGGAGCTCACTTCATATATAATCAGTGTTCCCAGTGGTCCATCAGGCTGCTGCTTCTGGTCAGAAGCTTTTCAATGGCCCTAGAAGGCTTCAAGCACTGAAAATCACTGCTGTTAGAATCCTGAAGCTGACTGAGGTGATTTCTTGTCAAAGGTGGGAGGAAATGGCCACCATAAAATTAAAAAAAAATAAGTCCCTAAAACATCCAAGCCTGGTTTGGGTAGTTATCTCCACCAGCACCACACAGCTCTGCCTGGGCAGGAATGAAACTAGTCTGTGGGAGAAGATTTATGCCTTCAGCAACAAAAATGGAATTGGAAATCATTCTGCACAAATTGAAGAGCCCACGTTGAGGGGGACAGAAACAGTAAGGGAGGACTGAGAGGAGTGTGAAAGGGCTGATAGCACGTGCTGGGGAGGACTGAGAGGAGTGTGAGTGTGAAAGGGCTGATAGCACGTGCTCTGGAGGACTTGTTCCAGCTGGGTTATCTCAGAAGACTTTACACAGCCCTCTTTGGGTTTTGAAGGGGATTATTCATTAGAAATTAGGGTTATGTTCCTAGGGAGTCAGGGCACAGGGGCAGGTGAGAAGTCTGGTGATGGTCAAGCAAAGCATGGACTGCTTTGGAGAGCAAGGCAGCCATAGGAAGCACTGCTGGGGACATCAAGAAGCTCAAGAGTCTTCTCAACAGAAGCTTTGACCAAAAGCATGGCTTGCTGATCACCAATCCTTTGGAGCAATGTAGAAGACTGCAAATGCTGACCCAAAACTGACACAGAGGAAAGGCCAAAAAAGCACCACAAAGGGCTAAGGGGAGGCTGGGGCAGTGCCCAGGCACTGGAACCACCCCGGGTGACCCCCCTGCAGCTCACTGAGGTCAGGCACAGGTTTCAGCAGGTCCCCATGGTTCAGCACACCCTGTCACAGCAGCAGGAGGGGAGGAGGCTCCTGAGCTCATGCAGGGACCACTCGTGTCCAGTTGTGCAGCACTGGGGGCTGCCATTGCCAAGGAAACAGCCTGACCTTATTAGCAGGAGTCATGTATTAATGCTCATGAGGAAAGGGAAAAACAACTCCCCTAACCTCTCCAGTGCAATGTTCCTAGGTGAGCAACAGATTTAATCTCTTCCCAACCTCCTTGGTACACAGATGTTGTCCTGGAAACACAGCACAGCAGTCCCAGCCCTCCTTTGCTCCAGGGGCAGGGGAGTTTTTCTCTGCCTGGGGGCTGTGCTCCACCAGCAGACTCTACACAGTGAGAGGAGATGATCTTTCCAGCTCTGTCAAATGACCTCAGCATTACTTTCTGAAAGACAAACTTTCCCCCCAAACTTTACCACGAAGACAAATATCTGCAGAAGTGGCTGTTTGCAGCAGGAAGTTTCACAGCCAGGAGACAGGGAAATACTGGTGCAGGGCTGGCTGCCAGGCT